CCCTCTGGACAGCGAGGCTGAAGCTGTGGCTGATGGCATTTTGTCTCCATGGGAGGCAAAACAATTTGTCTGCAGCATCAGGCCTCATCATCCAGAGTGGACTCATCCTCTAACTTTAACCTAGGATTCTGGCAGAAGCCACCTTGCTCTGTGCTACCCTTCATGCAAAGAGAGCAGGCAGGGCCAGAAAAGACTGTTCAGCACGCTTTCAGCCCTTTTGACTGAAATAAACTGTTTTCTATGTGCAGGTGACAGAGTTGGTGGAGTTCCTCATAAACAACTGCTTAGAAATATTTGGAGAGGACATCGCTTTGTCTGCCTGTGCCTTGGCTGAGGAGTCGCTGGAGCACACAGACAGATCCACAGGTATGAGAACGGACTGAGGATGTCACAGACTGGGGATGGTGGGCAAAACTCTTTAATTTGATATGGGAATACATCTGTTCAAACACAGAGAGTTGTAGATGACTCAAGACATTATTGCAGTGCTCTTCTACAGGAACTCTTTCCATATAGTTCCCCTTCATCCTCAGATAGTCAGTGAAAACTAATGGGTGATTTCTTCCCACAGAACACTTATGTGCTGCTCATCAGAATGACTCTGCCTATGACAGCCCAGATCCTGAAGCAGAAGGCAGCCCTCGTACCTCCCAGATGGAGCAGCCCACGGGGAGGAGCACTAGTGTGAGCAGAAGATATCCAACACGCATCTCTGCCCCTTCACTGTCTAATTTCAATAATGACATCAGCACGATGGACAGGAGGTACTCAGAGCCAGACCTGTCCTTCCAGAACCGCCTTGAAGGCAGGATAAGGAAACAGAAGCTAAACAAAAGTGAGGACAATTTTCCGGAATCAGCAGAAACAGCTAGGGTTGGAGGCATTGGAGAAACGGCTTGCAATCTTACCTTCACAATTATCAACTGACTCTCTACCCAAAACATCCTCCAGCTGCTCCCTGGAGAGCTCTGACGGCTCGGTCTTCACCAGCTCCCCAGTGGTTTCACCCTCCAGTCCCAAAAAAACTTTTTTAAATAGGCCCCAGTCCTTTTCCACCAAGGCCACCGAAGACTGTAGTACGCCTAGCAGAGAGATCAAAAAGCATTCCATGTCGTTCTCTTTTGCAAACCACAGGAAAACACTAATAAAAACCCGGAGTTGGGGGCCTGGAAAAAGCATAGCTTTTCAGAGAGACAGTTTCACAAAGAAAGAAGATCAGTTCTCCTGCAGAGTTGTCCAGGAGAACAGCCCTGATGATGACAAACCATTGCCTGTGGCGTATGAGCAAAGGCACCGTTTCAGGTCGGCCGATGAAGTGTTCAGAGAGGTGGACCAGAGGAATCCTGGAAGGCCACCCTCTTACGAAGAGGCTACGAAAAACTGCCTGGCCACTGAAGTTCCCTCCGACAACCTCACGGTTCGAACGATGAGATTAAAGGTGTCGGGCCAGGACGCTTTGCTGCCTCATCCAGGCGGCAGCTGTGCACAGGACACATCATGCGTGGTCCTGAGGGATCGACCCAGTGGCAGAGTTCCTGCAGCCAAGGGTTCTGACGTGGAAAACGAAACCCTCAGCATCACTGTGGGGATAAACTCCCGCGTGAGTTTACCTGTAACCCCAGGAGTCTACCGATTGAGAGCCATGTCTGAGTCCTGTCAAAAGAACAAACTTGAATATGTGGCTCGGAGGTGCAGCCAGCCAGTTTTTGAGGTAGACCAGATCCAGTATGCTAAGGAATCCTATGTTTAAAAAGCCCATCCCTCCTCTTCACACTGTACAAAGCAAATACTGTAAAAATAGACATCTTGCTCATCCTTCCTAAGATTTGACTTTCAAGAGACCAAGAATAAGCTAGCCCTGCATGAACTTTTTTCCCTTGAGGCTCTCTTGAAGCGTCTGTCAGCTTGACATGTCCCAGTCTTTCAGCACAAGAGGTGGCGGTGGGGAAGACCTGTGTATTATTGTGTGAAAATGTAAGTGAATGTGTTGTACAGAACCTGTTGTGTGGGAAAACTAGTAGTTGATAAACAGCCTTGTATTTGTATCTCCGAAAGGACAATTAAAAGGTCGGCAGGTCCAAAACCTGTCCCACCTTCCTTTTCTTTTCTCTATGGTCACAGACTCCATGCCATTTGTCACGTGCGTGTGCCAGGTTGATGCAAAGCTTTGCCGATTTTCTGCATTAAGAAGTGGGCTGGCAGTTACCCTAACTGGGGGAGAGCTGTTCTACCATCAAGGCCACTTCAGCACTCTTCCATAAACCCCCTCTGATGCAAAGCTTTGCCAATTTTCTGCATTAAGAAGTGGGCTGGCAGTTGCCCTAACTGGGGGAGAGCTGTTCTACCATCGAGGCCACTTCAGCACTCTTCCATAAACCCCCTCTAACTGCTGCCATTCCCTCTTCCTGCTTGCTGGTGATGAGAATGAGCTGACCACTAACCAGCATTAGTGTTGCGTACCGAGCCTGGGTTTAGAGCCACCAAAGCCCTACAAGGTCCTTATGGGAATGTATCACGTAAACCTCGTGTGGCCTGAGGTGCTTTTAGTCTAAATAAACTGGACAGGCTAAGCAGAAAGAGTATCTTCAGGTTTGCTTTTAGGAGGGGGAAAAAGCCCTAAACAACAAAAACTCCTGTAAGGAAACGTTCTAGATTCCAGCTTTAAACAGTTAAAGCTGCAGCTCATTTAAAAGGAAAAAAAAAAAAAAAGACAAAACAAGAAAATACCAGGCTGTGTCCTTATACCCTTGTAAAAATGACTGGAAGTGCAATGTGGTTTTACATGTAGGAACTTGTTTTAGGCAGCACTTATCTCCTCTTTTATGGTCCAGCATAGCCTTGAAGCAGGAGCAGGGAGACTTTCGTTTTTCCCCCGTGTAACTTCACTACAATAAAACATTTTTCTGCATGAATGGTAAACTGTCCATTGTCTTTCTTTAAAACACCCAGGCCCTGCATGTTCTGTACTTACTTTTACACCATTCTCCAGGTACTGCAGGTCTGCTTGAACGACGTGGCACATCCAGGTAGCGGGAAGGAAAATAACTGACCAGCAGTATCACTACTATTGTTGTCCTAAGAGGCTGCAGGCTGGATTTTGGGAGCAAATCCCTCTCTCTCAGGAAAACAAGTTACACTGCCATGCAACAGCAGTTATCAGTGAGGTGGAGATGCAAAGAGGTGATGCTGCTCCAAAAGCTCAGCGGATTAGGGAACAGCATACCAGCATCTCAGGTATGATGTTTTCCAGGTGTAGGTGTTCACAGAACGCAGAGAAAGGGGAAGGAGTGCATGGCCTGACAGGAGAAATTATGTGACAAGGACCATCCTGGTAGGCTGCAACTAGAGAAAATTCCACCTAAAGCAGTGGCTCTCTGATTCCAAGCAAGCTGAATGAGAGGGCTCTGCTGCAAGCTGCAAAAAGGCATTTGCCATTTTCTGAAACCTGCAACTCCTGAGTCACAGAAACACAGAACGTGTCAGGCTTGAGATCCTCCTGTCCAACCTCCTGCTCAAGCAGGGTCAGCTAGAGCAGGTTACCCAGGACCACGTCCAGATGGCTTTTGATTATTGCCACAGACGGAGACTCTGCAACATCTAGATTGAGAGATGTTGAGCTCCTGGAGCGAGTCCAGAGAAGGGCGACTAAACTGGTCAAGGGGCTGGAAAATAAAACTTATGAGGAGCGGCTGAGGGAGTTGGGGCTGTTTAGCCTGGAGAAGAGGAGGCTGAGGGGAGACCTGATTACGGCCTATAAATACTTGAGAAAAGATGGTGGGGAGGTAGGGGAAGGGCTCTTTACATTAGTGATGGGAGATAGAACAAGAGGAAATGGGCATAAGCTTAGTCAGGGCAGATTCAGGTTGGATGTTAGGAAGTATTTCTTCTCTGAAAGGGTTGTCAGCCACTGGAATAGGCTGCCCAGGGAGGTGGTTGAGTCCCCATCCCTGGATGTGTTTAAGAATAGGGTGGATGATCTACTTGAGGATATGGTTTAATGGGGATTAGGGATGGTTGGACTCGATGATCTCTAAGGTCTTTTCCAACCTAGAAATCTATGAATCTATGAATCTCTGACCAATTTGTTCCCATGCTTGAACATCCTCACAGTGAAAAAGGGTCTCCTTGCATTCAGATGGAATTCCATGCGTCTTAAGTCGTGGCTGTTGCCTCTTGTCCTGTGTCAAGTGGGAATTACAGCTTCTTTTGTAAAAAACACAAGCTCCTGGCCCTCATGGCAGAACGAGAGCGAAGAGATAATCCACGTGCAGTGGAAAGGCTCAGAAGCCACAGAGCAGAAAACACGAACTCCAAAATGTACTCAAACGTTTAACAACATGACTCATTTTTTTTGACTGTGACAAGACTAAGGATCCCAAGAAGAGGAACTGCTTGTTTCCTGTCCTGTAACCACACCAGAAAACCCGAGGAGAATAAGCACAGTCACTTCACCAGAGATGAGGAGAGTCTTTCTTTAGGTCCAAGGTGTCTTAAGGCAGACATGACAATCACACTCAGAAAGCTCACCAAATATTCAATACAGATGAGCCTAAATCTTCCAGCTCCTGGATAAGAAAGTCCATTTAGAATTTCTTTTGAGGCACTTCGATAGAGGGAGAAAAAGGAAGATGAGCAGAGGAGAGCTTCAGAGAGGAGCTCTACACATGGTTAACAAACAAGGGGTAAGGTGAAGGAGTTGTGTAAGACAGTGGTCCAGTCCCTCTCACCTTGCTCTTGCATTTCTTCAAGTACATGAAATACCATGATTAAACAAAATCTGAATGTAAATGGACCCCAAAAGAAATTTACTTCCTCATGACAGATAACTTTTGTCTTCCTCCATCTCTTAAGACTTGTCTCTTCAGTCAGCATTATTCTCATGTCACGTCCCTTCACACAAGGGATTTCTCCTCTACAGAAGCACTTAGGAGACCTCAGAAGACTAGAATGACACAGAAAGCAGAGAGCTCTGCTTTAGCCCTCACCTGCCTTCAGCTCAGCAAACAGCTCTACCACGTTACCGGCCCACCATACCACAGTCAAGCATCCAGCCCAACTACCCCGACCTCCAAGAGTAAGGCCCTTTGCTATATCCAACAAGTGAATTATCTAACCGTCTTTGTCAAAGCTCTCTTTGACTCCTTAGCTAGAAAGATCAAATACCCATTTACAGCTGGGCCAGCTGGAGCTGGATTTTCACACAAGAGCTGAATGATGACAGCAAGCCTCCTATTGTCCACAGGTTACTCCATCATCAGTATTGCATCACTCGCTTCACGCACCCAATTTTTGAATTAAATTTCATGAAAACACTCTAAACATACACAACACGTAAGACTGAAAGAGGGAAAAAGCGGAAGATCCAAGCCATTGCTGTGTGAGGCAAAGCTGGAATGAAGGCTACTGGTGCAATCTGAATTCAGTTCCTTGCGTTCACATCCTGCTGCTGTTCTCAATCACATGCTGCACTCTGTTCTTCCTCACAGGATGCACCTTGAGCTGGGGAGGAACCAAGGTTGTGCAGCGAAGGAGAACGTTTTATTTCTGGCAGTCCCCAGCATGGCTTGCCTAGCAGGGCACCTGGGCCTTGGACATATGACTATGTCTGAATTTCTAGGATTTGAAAGAGTCAACAGAAGAACAAAGGAGTTCCTCATGGAGCAACACGCTCCACTCCTTCCTTCCCCATGCTGTGCACCAGGTAGCTGCAAACTCTCGTTCTCTGCCACTTGAATTAGGACAGCAACTTACAGCGAAATTACATTGTCATCAACTCTATGGCCAAGCGTCAGTGAAGGCTGAGAAGAATACCATGCCTGCAGGTTTCACAAACATTTGGACTGGCACTCAGG